AGCAGTAGTCAGTCAGCACCACCATCAGCAACAGCAGTAGTCAGCAACAGCAGTAGTCAGTCAGCACCACCATCAGCAACAGCAGTAGTCAGTCAGCACCACCATCAGCAACAGCAGTAGTCAGTCAGCACCATCAGCAACAGCAGTAGTCAGTCAGCACCACCATCAGCAACAGCAGTAGTCAGCACCACCATCAGCAACAGCAGTAGTCAGCACCACCATCAGCAACAGCAGTAGTCAGTCAGCACCACCATCAGCAACAGCAGTAGTCAGTCAGCACCATCAGTAACAGCAGTAGTCAGTCAGCACCATCAGCAACAGCAGTAGTCAGTCAGCACCACCATCAGCAACAGCATTAGTCAGTCAGCACCACCATCAGCAACAGCAGTAGTCAGTCAGCACCATCATCAGCAACAGCAGTAGTCAGTCAGCACCACCATCAGCAATAGCAGTAGTCAGCCAGCACCATCAGCAACAGCAGTAGTCAGTCAGCACCACCATCAGCAACAGCAGTAGTCAGCACCATCAGCAACAGCAGTAGTCAGTCAGCACCACCATCAGCAACAGCAGTAGTCAGCACCATCAGCAACAGCAGTAGTCAGTCAGCACCATCAGCAACAGCAGTAGTCAGTCAGCACCATCATCAACAGCAGTAGTCAGCACCATCAGCAACAGCAGTAGTCAGCACCATCAGCAACAGCAGTAATCAGTCAGCACCACCATCAGCAACAGCATTAGTCAGTCAGCACCATCAGCAACAGCAGTAGTCAGTCAGCACCACCATCAGCAACAGCAGTAGTCAGTCAGCACCATCAGCAACAGCAGTAGTCAGTCAGCAACACCATCAGCAACAGCAGTAGTCAGTCAGCACCACCTTCAGCAACAGCAGTAGTCAGTCAGCACCATCAGCAACAGCAGTAGTCAGTCAGCACCATCAGCAACAGCAGTAGTCAGTCAGCACCATCAGCAACAGCAGTAGTCAGTCAGCACCACCATCAGCAACAGCAGTAGTCAGCACCATCAGCAACAGCAGTAGTCAGGACCATCAGCAACAGCAGTAGTCAGCACCATCAGCAACAGCAGTAGTCAGTCAGCACCACCATCAGCAACAACAATAGTCAGTCAGCACCATCAGCAACAGCAGTAGTTAGTCAGTACCATCATCAACAGCAGTAGTCAGGACCATCAGCAACAGCAGTAGTCAGCACCATCAGCAACAGCAGTAGTCAGTCAGCACCACCATCAGCAACAGCAGTAGTCAGTCAGCACCACCATCAGCAACAGCAGTAATCTGTCAGCACCATCAGCAACAGCAGTAGTCAGTCAGCACCATCAGCAACAGCAGTAGTCAGTCAGCACCACCATCAGCAACAGCAGCAGTCAGTCAGCACCATTATCAGTAACAGCAGTAGTCAGTCAGCACCATCAGCAACAGCAGTAGTCAGTCAGCACCACCATCAGCAACAGCAGCAGTCAGTCAGCACCATCATCAGTAACAGCAGTAGTCAGTCAGTACCACCATCAGCAACAGCAGTAGTCAGTCAGCACCACCATCAGCAACAGCAGCAGTCAGTCAGCACCATCATCAGTAACAGCAGTAGTCAGTCAGTACCATCATCAGTAACAGCAGTAGTCAGTCAGCACCACCATCAGCAACAGCAGTAGTCAGTCAGCACCACCATCAGCAACAGCAGTAGTCAGTCAGCACTATCAGCAACAGCAGTAGTCAGCACCACCATCAGCAACAGCAGTAGTCAGTCAGCGCCACCATCAGCAACAGCAGTAGTCAGCACCACCATCAGCAACAGCAGTAGTCAGTCAGCACCACCATCAGCACCAGCATAAGCACCACCAGCACCAGCAGAAGCACCACCAGCACCATCAGAAGCACCACCAGCACCAGCAGAAGAACCACCAGTTGCAACACCACCACTAGCAACAACAGCAGCAGCACCAGCACCAGCAGAAGCACCACCAGTTGCAACACCACCACCAGCACCAGCAGAAGCACCAGCACCAGCAGAAGCGCCACCACCACCACCAGCAGAAGCACCACCACCACCAGCAGAAGCACCACCAGCACCAGCAGAAGAACCACCAGTTGCAACACCACCACTAGCAACAACAGCAGCAGCACCAGCACCAACAGAAGCACCACCAGCACCAGGAGAAGCACCACCAGTTGCAACACCACCACCAGCAACAACAGCAGCAGCACCAGCACCAGCAGAAGCACCACCACCACCACCACCAGCAACAACAACAACACCACCACCAGCAGCAGAGACGTCATGTAACCCAGCCAAGCCAACCCAGACTCACACATAAGAGGGTGATCTCCTCGTCTCTGTCTTAAATCTCTTCTAAATATTCGCTCACTCTCTCACTGCATCACTGCCCCAATGTACACATACTCCCACACACACACGCACACACATATCCTCACCCCCTGGAGTGTGTACATTCAAGTTTATGTATACTCGGGTAGTCGTGTATATGCATTATCAATGAGTTTTGGGAGATATCTGACGCCAGCCTTCATGCAAGTCGATATTAAGTGATGGGTGATGTGTGGGAATAGTACGAGTGAGACTTGGGGAAGAGAGAGAGAGAGAGAGAGAGAGAGAGAGAGAGAGAGAGAGAGAGAGAGAGAGAGATCCTTATATACACTATTGTTATCCTCAGTAGAGAGACTACACAATTCTCTTTCTCCTGTGTCACTACACTCGCCAGACTCTACATACACACACACCTTATTCACATTATTCAGTGTATATTATTTGCAAGTTGAGGAATGAGACACATTTACAAGCGGTAAACCCTAAGGGTTATGCAGTATTAACATAAAGAGACCTGAGTGTTACACATGTCTTATCTTCCGCCGTAGTAGCGACAACACTCAACAATAAGACGTCACAGATGCTGTAACTGCAACAATATTTCGCCCTGACGACGTCTACACACTGCGAAATATTGTCCAAGTGAAATATGGTTCTGCATGTCTCTTTTCTCGTGTTTCTCTCCTCAACCTTCAGTGGCTGTCGCTATCAAACTCCGCTGTCCGTCTTGTGGTATAGAAGCACACTTCTCACTGTCCGTCTTGTGGTGTAGAAGCACACTTCTCACTGTCCGTCTTGTGGTATAGAAGCACACTTCTCACTGTCCGTCTTGTGGTGTAGAAGCACACTTCTCACTGTCCGTCTTGTGGTGTAGAAGCTCACTTCTCACTGTCCGTCTTGTGGTGTAGAAGTTCACTTCTCACTGTCCGTCTTGTGGTGTAGAAGCTCACTTCTCACTGTCCGTCTTGTGGTGTAGAAGCTCACTTCTCACTGTCCGTCTTGTGGTGTAGAAGCTCACTTCTCACTGTCCGTCTTGTGGTGTAGAAGCACACTTCTCACTGTCCGTCTTGTGGTGTAGAAGTTCACTTCTCACTGTCCGTCTTGTGGTGTAGAAGCTCACTTCTCACTGTCCGTCTTGTGGTGTAGAAGCTCACTTCTCACTGTCCGTCTTGTGGTGTAGAAGCTCACTTCTCACTGTCCGTCTTGTGGTGTAGAAGCTCACTTCTCACTGTCCGTCTTGTGGTGTAGAAGCACACTTCTCACTGTCCGTCTTGTGGTGTAGAAGCACACTTCTCACTGTCCGTCTTGTGGTGTAGAAGCTCACTTCTCACTGTCCGTCTTGTGGTTTTAGAAGTTCACTTCTCACTGTCCGTCTTGTGGTGTAGAAGTTCATTCTCACTGTCCGTCTTGTGGTGTAGAAGCTCACTTCTCACTGTCCGTCTTGTGGTGTAGAAGTTTTACTTATCACTGTCCGTCTTGTGGTGTAGAAGCACACTTCTCACTGTCCGTCTTGTGGTGTAGAAGCTCACTTCTCACTGTCCGTCTTGTGGTGTAGAAGTTCACTTCTCACTGTCCGTCTTGTGGTGTAGAAGTTCACTTCTCACTGTCCGTCTTGTGGTGTAGAAGCTCACTTCTCACTGTCCGTCTTGTGGTGTAGAAGTTCACTTATCACTGTCCGTCTTGTGGTGTAGAAGCTCACTTCTCACTGTCCGTCTTGTGGTGTAGAAGCACACTTCTCACTGTCCGTCTTGTGGTGTAGAAGCACACTTCTCACTGTCCGTCTTGTGGTGTAGAAGCACACTTCTCACTGTCCGGCTTGTGGTGTAGAAGCTCACTTCTCACTGTCCGTCTTGTGGTGTAGAAAATTCACTTCTCCCCTGTCCGTCTTGTGGTGTAGAAGCACACTTCTCATTGTCCGTCTTGTGGTGTAGAAGCTCACTTCTCACTGTCCGTCTTGTGGTGTAGAAGCACACTTCTCACTGTCCGTCTTGTGGTGTAGAAGCTCACTTCTCACTGTCCGTCTTGTGGTGTAGAAGTTCACTTAGCACTGTCCGTCTTGTGGTGTAGAAGTTCACTTCTCACTGTCCGTCTTGTGGTGTAGAAGCACACTTCTCACTGTCCGTCTTGTGGTGTAGAAGCTCATTTCTCACTGTCCGTCTTGTGGTGTAGAAGTTCACTTCTCACTGTCCGTCTTGTGGTGTAGAAGCACACTTCTCACTGCCCGTCTTGTGGTGTAGAAGCTCACTTCTCACTGTCCTGGGAGTGTAACCAACTTTAACAACATATATAATTCTTGTATACAAATAACCATCACATACGAGAAACTAACTTATGAAATGTTTGGATCCTACTTGGTCTTAACTAGTTAATGGTCCAAGTCAGACCCAAACGTCGTCGTTCTTCTTTGGGCGGGTTATTTATGTAATGTTTCAGTCACGCTAGTTAGCCTTTTTACATAAGAAAGCAGGAACACTGCCCATACTAGGTAAGTTCTTCTCAAACTCATTAACAAAAATATTTGCCCAACCCATTTTCAATGCTACCCAAGGAATAAGCTTTGATAGTCGAGGAATAAGCTTTGATAGTCGAGGAATAAGCTTTGATAACCAGGACTAAGCTTTGAGCTTCATATAACTCATATGTGTTCTTCATCTTGGCCAGGTGAGCAGTGAGTGACCCTGGTGGACCAGCATCTTGGCCAGGTGAGCAGTGAGTGACCCTGGTGGACCAGCATCTTGGCCAGGTGAGCAGTGAGTGACCCTGGTGGACCAGCATCTTGGCCAGGTGAGCAGTGAGTGACCCTGGTGGACCAGCATCTTGGCCAGGTGAGCAGTGAGTGACCCTGGTGGACCAGCATCACACATCTGGCCACACCAGCACCTGTCATCTCTCTACACCTTCAGGTGTGTACTCACTCACTCGTACATAACTGGTATACAGTACCGACAAGATTAAAAATTAGACACACGTGCAACATCTGGGTATTTTTATTGTAGACGTTTCGCCATCCAGTTGCTTTATCAATATGTCCTTATCATTATATCCTTGAATTTGTATACATAAAGCCACTGGATGGCGAAACGTCTACAATAAAGATACCCAGATGTTGCACATGTGTCTAATTCTTCATCAGAAAGTAACTTGATAAATTAGACACATGTGCAACACTTGGGTACCTTTGTTGTGGAAACTTGATTTCTTCAGTCCAATACAAAGAAGAATGGTTGAAGATCAGGAGTTTCGGGTAATCAGTCCCTCAGCCTGGAGGAATTGATTACATCGGCTTCAGGCGGAGGGACTGATTACCTGAAACTCCTGATCTTATATCATTCTTCTTTTTATTGGACTGATGAAGCTACTATGTGGTGAAAAGTTTCCTTAATAAAGATACCCAGGTGTCCCACATGTGTTTAATTTATCAACTTATCGGTTCTGTGAACCGACAAGGGAAGAAGGGGTGGCACTCTCTGTCCGAGATCGCTTGAATTGTTGCATAATAACGGGTATAGAGTCTGAAATAGCACATACAGAGTCTGTCTGGATAGAATTTTCAGAAGGGCATGAAAAATTGACTTTAGGCGTGATATACCGACCAAGGGAAACTACTGTGGGAGGAAAATGTTGAGGCCACAAGACACGATAACGTGGTAATTCTAGAGGACTTTAACTTTAGTCAGATTGATTGGAATTCCTTGACTGGAAATTTAGAGTCTAGCGACTTCTTAGAGACAGTTCAGAATTGTTTTTTAAAGCAGGTTGTGACAGAACCTAAAAGGGGAAATAACCTGCTCTACTTGGTTCTGGCAAACAAAGAAACCCTTGTTAATAACTTAGAAATTACAGAGGAAATTGGCACAAGCAACCACAAATCAGTTACTTTTAGCATTGAATGGAAGTATGATAGTAGGGATAATTAAGTAACAGCCCCCGATTTTCGCTTAGCAGATTACAATGGGCTTAGAGAACACTTATCATCTGTGGACTGGGGTAACGAAGAGAGCTATCAATATGACAGCTTTCTAAACGCTACATGCTGCCCAAAGAACATTTATTCCATATAAAGAAATTAGATCGAATAGAAATGACCTGAGGTGGATGAATAATAGGCTTAAACATGTTTAGAGCAGAAGAAAGGAACTTATAGGTGCATCAAGGAAGGTGAGAGTCATCTTATTAATCAATATATTCACACTAAGAGGGAGGTTAAAAATGGGATAAGAAAAGCAAAACGGGACTTTGAAATTAAAGTTGCTAAGGATTCGAAAACTAACCCGAAAGGTTTTTTCCAGGTTTATAGAACAAAAGTTAGCTAAAACATAGATCCCTTTAAAAATAACTCTGGGCATCTTACTGACAAGGAGAATGAAATATGCTCGATTTTTAATAATTATTTTCTCTCGGTTTCCCCACTAATAATATCCCAATAATTAATTTTTATAGTGGGCCTGAAGAAGATATGTAATATCACAGTCACTAGTGATATGGTTGTCAAACGGATAGACAAAATGAAGCAAAATAAATCCCCGGGCCCTGATGAGCTTTTTTCAAGGGTTCTTAAGGAGTGCAAAATGGAATTTTTTGAATCATTGACTAATATTTTTAATATATCTCTTCAAACGGGTGTAGTGTCTGATATGTGGGAGATGGCCAATGCAATTCCTATTTTTAAATCAGGGGACAAATCGTTACTGTCAATTTACCGCCCAATAAGCCTGATCTCAATTGTAGGCAAATTACTAGAGTTAATTATAGCTGATAATATAAGAAATCATCTTGATAGGCACAATTTGATTAATGATACTCAGCATGGATCCACGAGGGGCCGTTCCTGCTTAACAAATTTACTTTCTTCAATAAAGCTTTTGAGGCTGTTGATCACGATAAAGAATTCGATATTGTTTATTTGGATTTTAGTAAGGGTTTTGATAGTGTACCGCACCAGAGACTGTTGAAGAAAGTGGCAGCTCATGGCATTGGGGGAAAAGTGCTCATGAATCGAGTCATGGCTCACGAACAGGGTTAAATCTGAGTGGGGATCTGTAACAAGTGGTGTTCCATAGGAATCAGTTTTAGGCCCGTTGTTATTTATAATATATATCAATAACCTTGACGAGGGAATTACTAGTGATATGAGCAGATTCGCCGATAACACAAAGATAGGTAGGATAATTAATTCAAATGTAGATGTCACGGAACTTCAGGAGGATTCAGACAAACTCAGTTCCCGGCCAGAAAAGTGACACAGTTCAGTGTAGATAAATGCAAAGTTCTGAAGCTCGGGAAATTTACCATAACCCTAGCCTTAAAAGCTAAATAATGTAGAACTTAGCCATACAATTGTAAAAAGGATTTTGGGAATTATGGAAAGAAAGCAACCTCAAACCAAACGGGAATCCCGCCTAAGCTTAAGTAAAAAGGGCCCAAACGGATTACGGGGTTTTTTTTATATCAAAAGTGTAAAAAAACAAAGTCCAGCGGTGATACTACAGCTTATACTCATTATTAAAGCCTAAACCTGGTTTAAACGCAGCTCATTTTTCGGGTTTTTCAATTACAGAATAGATAAAAATTTTCATAAAAAACATTCCGAAGAGCACCGTATTTTTGGAACGACTAGGGTGCTCTTCAAAACCAACCCCAAAGGGCGAGGGACTGATTACCTCAATTTTTATAATAACCCCTTCCTGCCCTTCCCACATGTGCTTGAATTTGGATTGATAAACCCAGGGACTTGATTTCCGGAGATGGGAATACAGTCCCCTCCCCTTTTTCGGGAAGGGATTTGGTTAATTTTGCAGTTTAAAAAACGTAGTGTAAAGCCCCTTCGGGAAGACAGTGATGGATAAAATGAGGGTTAAAAAGGTTTTTTTTGGGGCCCCCCCCCGCCTTGGGGGGGAATCGGCCAGTGTGATAAAAAAAAAAAAGGGCCACGGGAAATGGCAAACGCTAAAAAGAAACCCGATGTTGTACTTATGCAATTTTTCCCATCCTGCTAAAATTTTGCCGCTTTGTGACCCCCAAACCCCCTGTCGGGGTGCCGCTTATGTGTTTAAAAACCCGGTCGAGGTGCCGCTTATTGATGACCAACCCGGGTCGAGGTCCCCCGCCATGTGATCCCAACCCTGGTCGGGGCCCCGGCTTATTGAGGGACCAACCCTGGTCAAAGGTGCCGTTTTAGGGTGATGCCCAACCCGGGTCGAGGTCCCCGGCTTAGTAAAGCCCCAACCCCCCTGGTCGAGGTGCCGCTTATTGATACCAACCCTGGCCCGAGGTGCCGCTCATTTTGATGACCAACCCGGTCGAGGTGCCGCTTTTTTGGGGATGACCAACCCTGGTCGGGGTGCCCCCTTATGTGATGCCCAAACCGGGCCCGAGGGGCCGCTTATGTGATGACCAACCCGGTCGAGGTGCCGCTCATGTGAAACCAACCCGGCCCGAGGTCCCGGGCTTTTTTGGGGATAAACCAAACCCCGGCCGAGTGCCGTTATGTGAGGGACTAAAACCCTTCGGGGTGCCGCTCAGGGTATGACCAACCCCCGTCGAGGTGCCGTTTTAAAGTGATAACCAACCCTGGCCGGGTGCCGCTTATGTGATGCCCAAACCCCGGTCGAGGGGGCCCCCCCTATGTGGACCAACCCTGGTCGAGGGGGCCGCTCATGTGAGACCAACCCTGGTCGGGGTGCCGCTTATGTATGCCCAAACCCTTTGGGTCGAGGGCCGCTTAGGGTTAAACCAAACCCGGGCGAGGTGCCCCCTTATGTGATACCAACCCGGGTCGGGGTTCCCGCTTTTTGTGATGACCAACCCCTGGTCGAGGTGCCGCTTATGTATGACCAACCCGGCGAGGTGCCGCTTATGTGAGGGCCCAAACCCCCTTGGTCGGGTGCCGCTCATGTAAATGCCCAAACCCCCTGGTCGAGGTCCGCTTTTTGTGATCCCAAACCCCTGGCGAGGTCCCCGTTTATGGATGACCAACCCGGGTCGAGGTGCCGCTTATGGGGATGCCCAAACCCTGGGGGAGGTGCCGCAAAGTGATGACCAACCCTGGTCGGGGTTTCCGCTAAATTAAATTCACAACCCTGGCGAGGGCCGCTCATGTGTTTCCCAAACCCTGGTCGAGGTGCCGCTTATGTAATGCCCCAACCCTGGTCGAGGTGCTGCTCATGTTGACCAACCCTGGCGAGGTGCCGCTCATGGATCCAACCCGGGTTCAAAGGTGCCGTTTCATGTGATGCCCAACCCTGGTCGAGGGGGCCGCTTATTGTTTACCAACCCGGGTCGGGGTGCCGCTCATTTGATGACCAACCCGGGTCGGGGGTGCCGCTTATGTGATGCCCAAACCCCCGGTCGGGGGTGCCGCTCATGATACAAACCCGGGTCAGGTGCCGCTCAGTGATGCCCAAACCCGGGTTTTCAGGTGCCGCTCATGTGATCAAAAACCCTGGTCGAGGGGGCCGCCCCTTGATGACCAACCGGGCCCGGGGTGCCGCTCATGTGTCACAACCCTGGTCGAGGGGCCGCTCATGTGATGACCAACCCTGGTCGGGGTTTGCCGCTTGGGGATGCCCAAAACCCGGCAGGTGCCCTCATGTGGATCACAACCCCGGGTCGATTTCCCCCCAAAGGATGACCAACCCTGGTCAAATTTGCCGTTTAAATTGGATGACCAATCCTGGCGGGGGTTCCGCTCATTTTATACCAACCCATTTCGAGGGGCCGCTTAGTGAGACCAACCCTGGTCGAGGTGCCGCTAAATTTTGATCACAACCCTGGTCGGGGTGCCGCCAGGGTAAAGCCCAAAACCCTGGTCGAGGTGCCCTCATTTTGTCGAAAACCCTGGCGGGGTTTCCGGGCCATGGGGTTTCCCAAACCCTGGCGAGGTGCCGCTTATTTTATGCCCAAA